AAGACCTTTGGACTGCCTTAGAGACACATGGTGTCTCGAAGATTAGTGAATTTATGTCCATTTGGACTAAGCAGACAGGTTATCCAGTTGTGTGTGTTCGGTTGATCAAGTCTCCCGATGGGGATGCATATTCAATTGGAGTGAAGCAAAAACGATTTTTGGCTGACGGAAGTTCTGTAAATGGTAAGTTGTTTATTTACTGATATCAATTCCTAAATTGAGTGGTGTGGAATGTTCGGGAGTGAGTGGGTTGGCTATTTTGAAGCAAATGAGACAAGAGTGTGTATAGAAAGTTCATTGGAAGATTTAGTAATAGCTTGTATTGAGTGACTATTCTTCAGACTATGCCTTCTACCATCTGATCTTCGCCACAATAGAAGGATCGTGGAGGAAAGCAGCTGTTGTCATACTGTTTTGTAAAAGAAGGAGACTAGAGGCAAAGGCTACAACTGATACTCCAGTATTATTTGCGCCTTCACAGAGGCAGTTAATTTCTACAAACGCCCGATCACGTTGACTCCGTGCTGATTATGGATCTACTGTAGTAGGTTACTATAGACACTTGGGTGGGGTGCTGTTATCGAGACTAGTTCTTTCAAGTCACCATCTGTTTGCTGACGTCTGTGTTGTTTACTGCAAGTTTACCATTTCCATTTTTGATTATCTGAAATCTCTCCGTAACCGAGTTGAACAATTTGGAATTATCTCAACTAACCTTCGGTTAACTCAGCACCATAGAATAGAGATCCACAGCTGAATAACACGGAATTTGTGGACAGAAAATCATTCACTCGTGTATTTCAGTGTATAGGGAGTGGAGCGTACTAACTGGGTAGCCAATGTTAACAAAGAGTAAAATAGCCTCAGATGTAGTTGACGATAAGCGGATAAGACGTACAGAGCATAGACTTGTAGTCTCATGAGGGATGATGACGAAGGAGATTGGGGAAAAGAGGGAAGAAATTAGTCAGAAATGAAATTTTGTAGAGCTTGACTCATTCCAGTCTTATTTTATTACTCCTTTTATAGACAAGTCTGAATCTCACTGGCCACTTCCAGTGAATGTTTGCGCTGCCGATGATTCCTCAAACATCCTACTTCGTGAGGTTGCTATTCCATCAACCAATTCTGTGAATAGTGAGGGCTTCAGTGAAGAAATCATTTACCCTCTTCCCTCCTTCTTCTCCTCCTCATCACCTCATATTCGCTTAAACCCCAATGCCATCGATTTTTATCGAGTCTTCTACGATCAGGCCCTCATGGAGGGGATTATGTTATGTTTGAAGAAAGGCAGTGTTCCGGAAAGAGATCGGATTAGTCTCTTAGATGATCAGTTCGCTTTGGTTAGAGCTGGAATGCAAGGACCTGTTACAGTTTTGGAATTCTGTCGAGCCTTGGCTGGAGAGGGAAGACACACCGTCTGGTCAGTGCTTGCTGAAGGTCTTGCGCAAATCCGACACTTGCTTGAGGAAGCATCCTATCCGGAAAGTGATGATATCATTTTCCCTGAGCCCTCTAAAGCTCTCCTTGGATTGGACCAAATCTACACTGAGCTTGCTCTCCCGGTATATGAGAAAATCGGGTTTGAGCCGACCTCTGCAGACACTTGCAATGAACTCCTTCTTAGGCCCATTATAATTGCTGTTCTGGGTCGGGTTGGACATAAAGATGTTGTGGAGAAAGCTCAGGCTGCATTTGAGCGTCATTATAAAGCTGTCATCTCGTCTACGAATGGCCAAATTCCCGACCAATCTCAACTCATACCCTCTGATCTGAGAAGGGAAATTTATGCTATTTGCATGAGGAGTGGAGGCGAAAAGGTGTTCAATATGTTGCTTGAGGTGAGTTTATTCGACACCTATATGCGTGCTTTTTATAATAAAGATGGTATACCTTTTTCCTTATCAGACAAAGTGGCGTATAGTTGGAGCAGACGCGAAGGGGGTAGATAGATTTTGTCTGTGGGATTCAGGGTAATTACTTGCTCTCTTCTCATGTGCTATGATGGAAAGGTCATAATAGAGTATGGGCTCCTTGAGGCTTTCGATAAGTCTTGATTTTTTTCTTTTGAGCATGGAAATTTTAAAGTAGGCTAATTCATGTGTTACTGTCCCATCTTTAAGAATTTGTGACTCGTGGTGTGTTTGAAGTTATTTGCTTTTTAAATCGTACTGCTTCCAGCAACAGGTGTGTCTATTCTATCGCCCCCGGCATATTTTCGACCATTTTGTCATTGGTCACTGCCTTATTATGCTCAACTAATCCAATTACTCTGTTATCGTCCAATTACATTTCCTCCCTTTTTGTCTACTCAGCTACATGAACGCGCTCAAATGAACGATGAACGGGTTAAAATTCTCGGAAGCCTTGGAGTGACTAGGGATCCGGAGTTGCTGAAACGTGTGCTCAAGTTGGCTTACGCAGACTTTGTTCGTAAACAAGATCGATGCTGTGTACTCTTGGGGGTTACGGGTACCGCTGGTGGTCGCCGGGCTCTGTGGAACTTAGTCAAATCGAGGATAGACGATTTGGTGGAAGATCTGGCTACTATTGATCTACTCTCGAGTGTCTTGAAGGTTGGTTGCTGAATTCTTAGTTGATTTGAATTTCGATTTAACTACCTGCCTCTTATTTTAGGGTGCTGCCAAAGGCTTCGCTTCAATGAAGCGACATGATGAAATAAGGGTAAGTTATCTTTTCCCAGTTTCAATTTTATTGTCCTATTTCCTATTTTATTCTTGATAACAAGTTGTGTATACCCATCTCCATTTACAGTTGGAGTCCTTTGTTCTTCAGTGGCTTTATTCCTTGAAGTTTATCTTTCATGCCTCTTGGTTGATGCTAGCTTTTATGTGTTCTTGCATGAATTGAGTTTTAAAGTTTACTAGTAATCGAATGTGACGGTTAATTAGCTACTAAAGTCAATTTCAAGTCAATGAGTGCAGGTGATCTGTAAATCCAAGTCAGAGTGCCCCTTTTTCTTCTGGTTCTGGTCAATTAGATTCAATGGCGTAGTGGTTATTGTACACATCTCCCAGGCTCGAGGTCATATTATTAGATTCTTCTAACTCTTTATAATTTCTTTTTCATTTTAGGACTTCCTGGCTGTTCACGAATTGCCATGTCAACGAGCTGTTCAGCAAATCTTGGAGTCTGTCAGAATCAACTCTGACCAGTTGGGCAGAGATGAAATAGCTCTTAGAGAGTATCTGGAAGAATTCGCTCCGAAAAGCTAATTCCGATCATTGATACTTCTTTATATGGATTTTGTGATTATTAAAAATATTCAGATTAATGACATTTGGTATTAGCAATTTGTATTAATTTTTATTTTCCATGATATTATAGTCGCATTTGGTCTGGTGAAAGAAAGTGGTTTGAATGAAAGGAATTGCTTTTTAGACAGTTAAAGTACCCAATAAGATAAGGTAGACAATAACAAAGTATATGTGGTCTGAGGATTAACAAAGACGACACTTTAAAGGTGTTAAGGATGCGGCTTCACAAATTTCATGGGCTACTGGAAAGCTACGCCCCGAATTTATGATCAATATACGTTGCAACAATGTAGCTGACGCTGACTAAGAGACGGCATACAAAGTCGGTGGGGGGGGGGGGGGGGGGT